CAGAGCATGAACGGGGGAGGGGCAGAGAGAGAGGGAGACACAGAATCTGAAACAGGCTCCAGGCTCTGAGCTGTCAGCACAGAGCCTGACGCAGGGCTCAAACTCACAGACCATGAGATCATGACCTGAGCCGAAGTCGGACGCTTAACTGACCACGCCACCCAGGCGCCCCTAATGTTTATTTATTTTTGAGAGAGAGACAGCGAGTGAGTGGGGTAAGGGCAGAGAGAGACAAGATACAGAATCTGAAGAAGGCTCCAGGCTCTGAGCTGCCAGCACAGAGCCTGATGTGGGGCTTGAACTCATGGACTGGGAGATCATGACCTGAGCTGTAGTTGGACCCGTGTAACCAACTGAGCCATCCAGGTGCCCCTAGTGGGCAATTTAAATTTTACAGAGCAGGAGGTTTTTCAGGCATTCCTCCATTGTGTTATGGCAGAAATGTCTGCACGGTAAATAAACTGGAAAGGTAATCGTCAGAGAGTGGGTACGTGAAATAGAGTTTTTGGGGATGATGAAGTATAAGGTGGGGACAAGGTGTAGGTCATCACCATGTGAGTAGCAGTTAAGGGACAGGAGTGAAAGATGATTGAAATTAAGGAAGTCAAGGAACAGGAGGTCAGGGTGTTTAGATGGGTGACTTATATCAGGAGTTAAATAATATTTAATCAAGATTTCTTAACCTGGGGCCTATGTACCCTCTAATGATAGAATTCAGGGAGTCCTTGAGCTTGAATGGGAAAAAAATACAGTGGGCCCTTGAACAACATGGGTTTGAACTGCACTTATATATGGACTCTTTTGATAAATACAGTACCGTAAATATATTTTTTTCTTTCTTATGATTTTTTTTTTAATTAAGTAGGTTCCACAGCCAACGTGGGGCATGAACTCATGACCCTGAGATCAAGAGTTGCATGTTCTACTGACTCAGCCAGCCAGGCACCCCAATCTTATGATTTTCTTAATAACATTTTCTTTTCTCTAGCTTATTTTATTGTAAGAATATAGCATGTAATACATATAACATGTAAAATATTTGTTAATTGACTTATGTTATTGGTAAGGCTTCCAGTCAACAGTAGGCTATTAGTAGTTACATTCTGACTGCACAGGGGGCTGGTGCCTCTAACTCCCACAATGTCCCATCTTTATTTTCACTAACCACTCACTTAAATTTAGCATTTTCTTCAATTATTAATGCAGGCAACGAACCACAGTCGAAGTAGTAAAACCTATGACTTAGCCATTAATACAAATCACTGACATTTTGGATATTATATGGTAGCTCTTGCAAATATATTGAAAAGTTACTTAGGCTCATCACTACTTTATTTATTTAATTAATTTATTATTATTATTTAAATGTTTATTTATTTTTGAGAGAGAGAGAGAGAGGGAGACACAGAATCTGAAGCAGGTTCCAGGCTCTGAGCTGTCAGCACAGAGCCCAATGTGGGGCTCGAACCTATGAACCACAAGATTGTGACCTGAGCCAAAGTCAGACACTTAACCGACTGAGCCACCCAGGCACCCTTTTTTTATATTTATTTTTTGAGAGAGAGAGAGAGAGAGAGAAGTGGGGTTCACCTGAAGCAGGGCTTGAGCTCATTCATGTGGGATTCAAACTCATGAACCATGAGATAATGACCTGAGCTGGAGTCAGATGCTTAAATGACTGAGCCACCCAGGCGCCCTACTCATCACTACTTTAAAATTCTAACAATTATTACATCTACTACTAGAACTTGTTAAATGTGTTATTAAGCACTAATAATTGATATCTTTAATGTTTTGATAAATTTAGTTTCTTCATAATCTTACTTATTATATTTTAGGCATTTAAAAATATTATACTCAGAAGTGATCCATTCATCAGACTGTCAAAGGGGTCTATGGCACAGTAAAGTCACAAGCCCTGATCTGCATGGAAGTTATGGAAGTTGCGAAGAATAAGAAGAGGAGTAGTGAAGGACGAAGACGTGAGCCCAGTGCTATTTCTTACCAAATGCTCTGGTCGCATCTCACCTATTTATTTATATAAAGGTCATATTTAGTAAACAAATATTTATTCGATTAGGACTTATATTTTCACGATGGCAAAATTAATTCATAGGTCATGGAATTTCTTTTCTTCTTCCTTCTGTTCTTCCCCAGCATCTCCTCCATATTCCCTGTCACCTTCATTGTCACCACCATCATCATGTCTAACATTTACGGAGTCTTCTAGACATTGCATTAAGTACTTTGCAGGTTTTATCTATATTGATTTCAGAGAAAGAAGTGACCCTAGACAATTATTTAGTTCAACTTCCCATTTAACATGGGAAGACACTAACATTCAGTAGGGTTAAATTATTTGTTAGCAATTTAGTGGCAGAACAGGGACCAGGCCTCAGCACAAAGAAAAGCTACACTACAGATGAGGCATATTGGCTAGGTTCACCAGGGGAAAAGGGAATCCCCCCCCGCCTGCCACAGATACTGCTAAATGATTTTTCTAAGACCATCTCTAGCAGTGGCAAACTCTTACCTGTCAGTGAGTCCCTCTCCTCATACCCTCGCCAGAACTGGATATTATCAATCTTGCTAATTTTTGCCTGTCCAATGAGTGAAAATAATACTGTATTTTTTTAATTTGTATTTTCATGACTATTGGTGAGGTCAGACATCTTTTATGTTACTGGGCAATTATATTGCTCTTTTATGAATTATCTATTTGTGTACTTAACTTTTTCTACTCTCAGTATGTTTTATAAATGTGTGAGGGCTCTTTCTACCATTGGGGTACTAGCTCTTTGTCTTGCAATCATTCTCTGCTAACTCATCATTTGATTTCCGACTTTGTTAATTTTTCTCTTAAATGTTCCCATATAAAAAATTTAATGTTTATTTATTTTTGAGAGAGAGAGAGAGAGAGAGCATGAGTTGGGGAGGTGCAGAGAGAGAGAGAGACACATACAGGATCTGAAACAAGCTCCAGGCTCTGAGCTGTCAGCACAGAGCCCAACGCAGGGCTTGAACTCCAGAACAGCGAGATCATGACCTAGGCTGAAGTTGGGGGCTTAACCAACTGAGATATCCCGGTGTCCCCAACATGTTCCCTTATAAATGAGGTATAAAATTTCACTTTTCTTTCAGTGACTTACTTGTACGGCATTGAAGGCATGGCTAAGTTTTACAAGTAGTATCCCCAACATATATATTTTTAAATTTATTTATTTATTGAGACTGAGAGATAGAGATAGAGACCGATAGAGGGAGAACGCACATATGACCAGGGGAGGGGCAGAGAGAGAGAAACTCAAGGAGGCTCTGTACTGTCAGCACAGAGCCCAACTTGGGGCTTGATCCCATGAACTGTGAGATCATGACCTGAGACCATTTCAAGAGTCAGATGCTCAGGGTGCCTGGATGGCTCAGTTGGTTGAGTGTCCAACTTTGGCTCAGGTTATAATCTCGTGGTCCATGAGTTTGAGGCCCACATTGTGCTTGCTGCTGTTTCGGATCCTCTGTCCTCTTCTCTCTCTGCCCCTCCCCTGCTCATGCTTTCTCTCTAAAAAAATAAATAAAACATTAAAAAAAAAATAGAGTCGGATGTTCAACCTACTGACCCACCCAGGTGCCCCTGCAACATAGCTTTAAAAAAATTTTTTTTAATGTTTATTTATTTTTGAGAGAGAGAGAGAGAGAGAGAGAGAGAGAGAGAGAGAGAGAGCAGGTGAGGGGCAGACAGAGAGGGAGACACAGAATCGAAGCAGGCTCCAGGCTCTGAGCTGTCAGCACAGAGCCCGACGCGGGGCTCAAACCCATGAACTGTGAGATGAAGACCTGAGCTGAAGTCGGACACTTAACCGAGTGAGCCACCCAGGCGCCCCACAACATGGCTTTTTAAAAAGCATTTTTGGAGATAGTATTTCCTAATGAGTCAGGATGAAGTTTTTCTATTTACGTTTACTTCATTAAATATGAAAAAGGAAGGCTACTTTCAGTAGTTCTGATAGAAGGGTTCAATATTTCTTTGAAGGGCATAATGACACCCGTAATACTCACCATCAGTTGACACATCAGTCATTATTTCCTCAAGTTCCTCATCATTGAGTCTAATTCCCATGTTTTCCACAAGGGATTTCACTTTTTTGAGTTTGACCCTTGGTCCTTAGGAAAGAAGGGCACGAAATAAGATCATAAATACTGATGCTTAAGAGTGAAAAATGCTAATCATGGTCATGCATCATAAATTCCAACTGGAGGATAAAGCATAAGGGCACAAAGAAACCGTTAACATATAGATCTCCCTAGATTTAGATATTTCTGTTGAAAGTAGGAAAAGAGGTTAGAGAGGGAGAGAGCCAAAGCATAAGAGACTCTTAAAAACTGAGAACAAAGTGAGGGCTGATGGGGGAGTGGGAGGGAGTGGAGGGTGGGTGATGGGTATTGAGGAGGGCACCTTTTGGGATGAGCACTGGGTGTTGTATGGAAACCAATTTGACAATAAATTTCATATTAAAAAAGAAAGTAGGAAAATTGAGAAAGATAACCATTGAGACCCAGGTGGACAGTAAACAGTATTTACCTTTATGGGGACAGATGAGATTGATGGAGTTGGGAGGACTCTTGCTTTTCAAAAAAATTGGGATATAATTGACACATTATATCACTTTCAGGTGTACAACATAATGATTTAGTATTTGTATCTATCGCAACGTGATCACCACAATAAGTCTTGCTAACATCCATCACCATGAAAAGTTGCGAATTCTTTTTCTTGTGGTGAGAACTTTTAAAATCTATCTCTTAGCAATTTTCTTTTTTAAAAAAAAATTTAAATGTTTTTATTTTTGAGACAGAGACAGAGCATGCGCAGGGGAGGGGCAGAGAGAGAGGGAGACAGAATCCAAAGCAGGCTCTAGGCTCTGAGCTGTCAGCACAGAGCCCGACACGGGGCTGGAACTCACGGACTGTGAGATCATGACCTGAGTCGAAGTCAGACACTTAACTGACTGAGCCACACAGAAGCCCCTATCTCTTAGCAATTTTCAAAGATGCAATATGGTATTGTAACTATAGTCACCATGCTGCATATTATATCCCCATGACTTGACTTAGCAATTCTTTGCAGAATTTTTAAAAATGTTTATTTATTCTGAGAGAGGCACAAGCAAGGGAGGGGCAAAAAGAAAGAGGGAGAGAGAGAATCTCAAGCAGGCTCCATGCTGTCAGCGCAGAGCGCGATACGGGGCTTGATCTCACCAACTGGAACTGTGAGATCACGACCTAAGCCGAGATCAAGAGTCAGATGCTTAACTGCCTAAGCTACCCAGGTACCCCTTAGCTTACAGTTCTTTTCTCAGTGTTCTAAGTGGTAGAATTGGATAGTTTTCTTGTAGTATTTGATGTTTTGAAAATAATTTCTGATCAAAAACTTAAAAAATTATTGCTTATAACAGAATAGTATAAAGGGTAGAGATAGGATATTTTCCTTAACACCCGTCCAGCGGACTCTGCTTCAGTTTCCCATGAGAGGTGAACAGGGGGGAATAAGTGAGTCCACTCATGGTTGAAAATAGCAACCAGTCTGTACAGTTCTAGCCGGAATACAGTGTTAGAATTTCTATCCTGAAATGTCAATGCACCCAAGAAAAAAATGGGAAGTTATGAGTCTAAAACAATGGATCAAAAAATTGGCAAGAAGCAAAGTTGGAACATTTAAAGGCAAATGCTAAGCACGAGGAATTTATTTTTATTTGTGCTTTCACCATGATTCTCACTTACCATTGAGTGCTTTCACACCTTTTAGCAATCTCTTCTTATATACTCTTCCATCAGCTGTAAGACAAGACACGATTAAGAATATAGGTTAAATGAAGGGAAGATTAACAAATAGAGCACAAAGACAATCCAGCATCCATAATCTCAGGGGGGAAAATGCTTCAGATTTGTTGAGGATTTTATTTTATTTTGCCCTCAAGTAAGAACGAAACCAAAGATAAAGCTCTCACTGATGTAAATCTACCTATTGGTTGAATTAAAAACAGTCTATCTCCCTATTTCTCCCATTTTCCTTCTTACTCTTACTCTTCTGATTTTCCTCATTTCCTTGGTCAGGATTTAGGTGAAGCAGTGATCCCAGGGTGTCAGGATAATGTAGCCTTGATGATGGAGACTAGTGAAAGATGTTGCCAATTTTCAATATTAAAATGTAAGTGACAAGAACAGGATTTCTTCTTTTGTAACACCATGTTTTCTAGATGGGGTTTTACTAGACATAGGCATATATGATTTCAGCACTTTTCATACACAAGCCCATAAATCCAAGTTTCAGAGATGTGCTAAATGCTCACCATGAATGGGCAGAGTTTTCAACAGCTCCTTATTCTCCTCATCAGTCAGTACTAGTCCCATTTGCCTCAGCACATTGTTCAGATTACTCACATTAACCTTCTCTCCTTTGGAAAGATGAGAATTGTTCATGCATAAGAATTTTTTAAATTTATTTTTTAATTTTTTTACATTTATTTATTTCTGAGAGACAGAGAGAGACAGAGCACAAGTGGGGGAGGGGCAGAGAGAGAGGGAGACACAGAATCCGAAGCAGGCTCCAGGCTCTGAGCCATCAGCAAAGAGCCCCACGTGGGCTCACGAACCGTGAAATCGTGACCTGAGCTGAAGTCCGATGCTCAACCGACTGAGCCACCCAGGTGCCCCGTTCATGCATAAGAATTTTAGGAATGGGCAAATGATTTCAAATTATAGAGAAGATTGCATATTTGGCATAAGTTTAATTAGAAGAGCAAATTGACAATGAAACTTGTTAATCTATGTAGGTTTAGAGTACATGTGGGCAAATGGATTATGTTCAGAAATAGAATTTATACTTTCAATTCAAGCAAAAGAAAAGTAGATATAATCCCAGATATAAGTCAAATGCCATTATGTTTCCTGAATTATGGGGTCTTTTGACACATATTTCCTGGCTGTCCTACAAAACTTCACCTTGAGACTGAACAGCATTCACCTATATTTTGGTAGTTTAAACAATGGTGAAGTGGAAAACATTCTTGGTCCAAACTCCATATGATGTAGGTCTATACAGGAAAAATCCCAAATCAAACAGTAAGATTATAAAGCAAACATTTAACCATTAAATTTGTAGGATGGGGGCGGGTCAACTTCGCATGTCAGTAATAGCCTAAAGAGAAAACTACTGTTTTAAAAGCATCTTTTTTTTTTTTCCTGTAAATCATTAAGGTCTTAGTTAATAACGAATTCCCTTTTTACCACTACTTCTTACCTATAAAAGCTTTTGCGTCGTCCATCACCACATTCAAATCAACCATTTTATTCTCTGTAAGAAGAGGCAATTCAGGCACAGAGACTAAATCTTAGACTTAGAAAAACGATATGAAAAATTTAAGTCGTAATATAAAAGGTTCAAATTCAGCTGTTTTTCATAATTTTCCTCAGTAACTTTTTAAAGTCAAAATAAGCAAGAACAAAGAGAAAGATCAAAATGTTAAAGTGAACATCCTCTAATTAATACTACTTGGTAAAAAGTATCCAATGACCCTTAACCCAGAGATTAAGCAGGTTTAATAATACAGTTGATTCTTGAACAACGTGGGGGGTAGGGGTGCTGACCCCCTTACAAAGTTGAAAATCCATGTGTAACTTCTGACTCCTCAAAAATTACTAACAGCCTATCGTTGACCACAAGCCTTACCGATACCATAAAATATCAATTAACACATATTTTGTATGTTCTGTGTATTTACTGTATCCTTACAATAAAGAAAGCTAGAGAAAAGAAAATGTTACTAAAGAAATCATAAGGAAAAGACATTTACAGTGCTGTACTGCAGTGACAGAATTTAAAAAAATGTGCACATAAGTGGATCCACACAGTCAAACCCCTGTTGTTCAAGGATCAACTGTAACCCCTTCTAACAGGACTCTCCCTTCCTTCAGACCCAATAAGGAAGCATATTTCAACAGACAAGATGGAATTTGAGGCCTAGATGTCATTTATTTACATGAGCAGCTGACTGTTAAACCCTGACAGAATGCTATCTTCCCACTCTCGAAATTTTGCTTACAGTCCCCACCTCCACCCCTCAGGACAGTGAGCTGTTTGAGAACAGAGATCATGCCTTAATTTTCTTTGTCCTACCAGGTATAAATTGTTCACTCTCTAGTTCAGTGTTTTGCATCTAGTTTTGTGCTAGCTAAGTGAATGAATACCAGTGGTATAGTAGTCATAATGTTGGATTAGAAAAAATTATTCTTTCCTTTTTTTTTTTTCTTTTTGAATGGCCTCAAAATACTCATTGGTAATAATCCCTTTTCTGGTAGGAAACATTTTAAGGGCGCCTAGCTAATATATGGGGACAATGTCACAATTAAATGATCTATAGTGATATTTTTCATGATAAGAAGAGGCTCCAGACAAAATAATGGATAATTACTCAGGGAGAGGGATTCATTCATTCATTCATTCATTCATTCATTCATTCATTCATTCATAGAGCATGCAGGGGAAGGGGAGCGAGAGGGGGAAAGAGAGAGAATCCCAAGCAGACTCTGCACTGTGAGATCATGGCCTGAGCTAAAATCAAGAGTCGGACGCTTAACCGACTAAGCCACTCAGGTGCCCCGGAAATTTTAAACTACAAGGTGGGCTCAAACTGTTTTCTTGATTAAGGCCAACTACAGGTAGGGGCAGCAAAGATGTTTGCTGGTGACAGTGGCCTTAGCCACACCTGCCAATCATTAGTTGAGAATAGGAACCCTGAAGTAGGGAAGAAGAAGAATTTGTTTATTTTGGTGTGGCATGTGCTGGTTGTGCTGAAAGATGTGCTGTCTGGCTCTCTTACAACTTGTTTTTCATCAGGCTTTTAATGGGAAGCCACTGGCTCTATGTTGGAATCCAAGAGCCCTCTAATTCAGGACCTTTTAGCCTGGCGCTTACCCCTTAGCCAACTCTTTCTAATGAATTCTACTATTTTTGCCTCCATGACATTTTTACCCAGCTAAATTGGTCTTATTCAGTCATTAATGAAACTGTCTTATTTAAAAAAGACATACTTGGAAAGGAAGGAAGATGTATGAAAGAAATAAGGAAAAATGGTAACACCTGTTAGCTCTAGTCAGCGGATACACAAGTATTTGTTACAGTGTTTTCTGCTTTGATAGATGTTTGAAATCTTTCATAAGTTTTTCAAAGAGATTAAAAAATAGGTTTGCCTTCAGAAGCCCTCATATAGAAGCTCTAAGATTTGCTCCCAAGTACAGTGGTATCTGAAATACTTACTATCAGTCGGCAGGTGTTTCAGTAAGTCCTGATGGTCCTCTTTCTCAAGCTGGATTCCCATGTTCTTTATAAGGGGGTCCAGGTTACTGATACTGACTTTCTTTCCTTGGGAAAGAAGAGGATGTAAATAATAGAAGTAAGTCCAAGAAGTGGAAGATGCTAGCTTTGAATGTGTATCCACCCTCGGTGGAGAGTGAAACACTGGCCATTTAAATGAACCCAGATAGTCAGTGTTGGAGGTGAGAAGAGAAAATGCTCCCTCAGCACTGTGTTGTAACTTTTCGTTGAAATAATCATGAAGGTGCCTGGCTGGCTCAGTCGGTTGAGCGTCCGACTTCGGCTCAAGTCACGATCTCACGGTTTGTGAGTTCAAGCCCCACGTTGGGCTCTGTGCTGATAGCTCAGAGCCTGGAGCCTGCTTCGGATTCTGTGTCTCCCTCTCTCTCTGCCCCTCCCCCACTCAGGCTCTGTCTCTCTCTGTCCCTCAAAAGTGAATAAACATTAAAAAATTTTTAAAAAGAAATAATCATGGATGAAGAAGATTTAGATAAGCCTGATGAATTGTGATAATCAGCGTAAATGAAATCAGAATGTCAAACTTGCTGCATATTATTAAGAATAACTTGAGGTAGTTATACCTAAAGAAGAGTGGTAGGTTGTGAGCATAAGTTCAGTGTCATTAAACCAGTGGAATAATGGAATAGCATGATTCTAATCAGAAATTTAAAAAGGCAGGGGTGCCTGGTGGCTCAGTTGGTTAAGCATCTGACTCTTGATCTCGGCTCAGGTCATGATCTCATGGTCCGTGGAACTGAGCCCCGTGGCAAGCTCTTTGTTGATAGTGTGGAGCCTGCTTGGAATTCTCTCTCTCCTTTTCTCTCTGCCCCTCTCCAGCTCCCACTCTCCCTTTTTCTCAAACTAAATAAATAAACTTTAAAAAAAGAAAAAAAAAGCAAATGCAAAGCCTAATAGATTTTAGCTGCTGTTCTCATGATTCTTACCTTTGAGAAGTTTCACACTATTCAGTGATCTTTTCTTGTACACCTTTCCATCTCCTGTGAGACAAGGTAAAGTTTAAGTCAAAAGAAAAAGGATAGGGAATTCTATAATTTTATAAGACATTTGATATGATTCATCTAGCAATTTATTTATCTCGCCCTCAAAGAATAATAAAAGGAATGCCCTCAATGTGGTCAGTCTATTCCATCACTGGAACCTATGGCAGTAGCTGATGCAGGCTAAAAATACACCCATACAGTTGCCTCTTTCTTCTTTTTCTTTTCTTGAATTGCACTTTGATGCTCTGCCTTTCTCCCTTTTCCTTGCCAGTGCCCTAGGCCCATAAGGTATTCCTCTAAGTCTATGTTTAGCCTGAATGATAGGCCTATAAAGGGATTTTATTAAAAATAATTATCAATCCAAACAGTGGTTTAAAACAATATTTAAATAAGTGTTCTCTAAACAGTTTCCATAAATGGAGAGGAAATTCAACAGGGTCGGAGAACACATGACATCTGCCAGCCCCACCCATCTCCACAGGTGCTGTCTGTCCCAAAGGGCCCTTTCCTGTGGCAGGAGTGTCTCCAGTGTTGACAGACTCCACAATGCCTGGCATGTATATGCATTTATCTCCATGACAGCCCCTCTTCTCTCTGCATCTTTGTCCTGCTGTCTCAGAGCCAATGTCCCAATTCTCATAATTGGCTCCTTGAGAGCAATCTAGGGGAATGCTAGACACGGGAAGTGGCCACAGCCTTAGGTGTATGTGGGGAGAATACAGATGGGCATCGGGCATTTGCTGCCCATGGTGCTGCTTCTGCCATCAAGGGGTACCAGCCCCCTCGGTGATGTGTAGGCTCGCTCTTGCTTAGGGGACAAGTGGTGACGGGAGTGTTTATGTGGGAAGAAGGTCTACGTGGAGGTCCATGAGACTGGGCAGGAGACACAGGCGGGGCACAGGCTGGCCTCTAGGGTCTCTAGTGGTGAGCATATGCAGGTGCCCAAGAGGTGGTTTTTGAGGGACTAATTGGACGACTGACCAATCGGATTCGAATACTGACAGTCCCAGCACATGGTTCTGGAGGGCACCCTGCTCTCAGGTGTTTATCTTTTAGTTGCTGGATTATGGGGTGTTGGGGAGGCACATTCAGGGGAGCTACAGAGAAGTCAGCTGTGTGGCATTTAAAATATTTAGTCGGGGGGTGGGGAGCCCGTGTGGCTCAGTCAGTTGAGCGTCCAACTTTTGATTTTGGCTCACGGTTCCTGGGATTGAGCCCTGCATCAGGCTCTGTGCTGACACCATGGAACCTGCCTGGGATTCTCTCTCTCTCTCTCTCTCTCTGCCCCTCCTCACTCTCTCTCTCTCTCTCAAAATAAATAAATTTTAAAAAGTTAAAAAACTATCTAGCAGGGGCCCATTGACTTGTAAATTTTTCACTTAAAAATTAATCACTTCCAAACTAAAACACAGATGAGAATGGGGTTTCTGTCTGGACTGCATGTTCCTTAGGGGGTTTCTTAGGGCATCAGACAGTTCTCCCCCAGAAGCCCACAGTGCCACATTTCCCTGAGCACCACGGTGGCATGTCATATACTCACCAGAGACTGGCAAAGTTTTTGACAGCATCAACTGCTCTGTTTCAGTGATCTCAATTCCCATGTTTCCCAGTACATTTTTTAAGTCATTGGCTTCTGCCTTTTCTCCTTTGAATAGATGGGAATCATTTCAGGTGAAAACATTAAGAAATCGAATTATTCTGAATTATGGCGAACATAATCTAGTGCAGCATTATTTCCAACTGCAGGATGAAGTTGAAACACACAAGCTGACTCCAGTCACTAGAGTTATAGTAAAATCCAACAACTGAAAAGTTTCTTTACTCAAAATGAGAAGACAACTCTTCTCTTCTGTGTGGGGATGAATATAGCATTGAGTAACATGGCGGCAGTGTGATGGTATATAGAATGTGCATCGTTATACTGGTAATAGCTCTGATAGTGCTTCATGACTTGGACTATGGGGCTGACTGTTCTTAGTGACCATATTTCCTGATGCAAAAACTTCATCTTGAGATTTCCTGGGTTCACCTGGATTTTGATTCTTTAAACACTGGAGAAATAAACACTGGTCAAAATATCAAACAAGTTAATACTTCTTTTTGAGAGTGGCCACACTTTTCCTAAATCTCTAATAATCTAAGTTATTGGCAATAAGATAAAAATCATCAATAAATAAGTAAAAGAACAAAGCAAACTTACTAATGATGGATGGAGGGGGCAAAGTACTGCTTTAAAAAGGTACTTCTCTACAAGGCATCAAGATCTCAACTTTATGATGTCTTCTACAAGTTCTCACTCACCTGTAAAGGCACTGGCTGCTTCCATCAACACAGCCAACTCCACCTTTTCATCTTCTGTAGGAAAATTCAGAATGTAGAATCAGATGAAGATAATGAGACTTGAAAAATTATATACAGTTCTTTTTTTTTAAGATTTAAAAAAATTTTTAAGTAAACTCTACACCCAGTGGGGGGCTTGAACTCACAACCCCAGGCTCAAGAGTTGCAGGCTCTACCAACTGAGCTAGCCAGGGGCCCCTATATAAAGTTCTTAAATGAAGATTTGGTGTATGGAATCCCAATAATTTTTCATGTTTTATTCTAAAAATTTTATATTTTCTTTTTAAAAAATATTTTATTTAAAAATTTTATTTTTTAAATGTTCATTTTGTGAGAGAAAGAGAGAGAGATAGAGGGGCAGAGAGAGAGGGAGACAGAGAATCCCAAGCAGGCTCTTCATTGTCAGCCTGATATGGGGCTTGAACTCACGAACTGTGAGCTGAGATTAAGAGCTGGATGCTTAGCCTACTGAGCCACCCAGGTGCCCCTAAAGATTTTATTTTTTCGGTAGTGCTGCTATGAACATTGAGGTGCATGTGCCCCTTCGAACCAGCATTTTTGTATCCTTTGGATAAATACCTAGTAGTGCAATTGCTGGGTCATAGGGTAGTTCTATTTTTAATTTTTTAAGAAACCTCCATACTGTTTTCCAGAGTGGCTACATCAGTTTGCATTCCCACCAACAGTGCAGTAGGGTTCCCCTTTCTCCACATCCTCACCAAAGATGTGGTATATATATACAAATGGAATCCTACTCAGTGATGAAAAAGAATGAAATCTTGCCATTTGCAACAACATGGATGGAACTAGAGGGTATTATGCTAAGCTGAATAAGTCAGTCAGAGAAAGACATATCATATGATTTCACTCATGTGGAATTTGATAAACACAACAGATGAACATAAAAGAAGGGAAGGAAACGTAAGATAAAAACAGAGAGGGAGGCAAACCATAAGAGACTCTTAAACACAGAGAACAAACTGAGAGTTGCTGGAGGGGAAGTGGGTGGGGAGATGGGTTAAATGGGTGATGGGCATTAAGGAGGGCACTTTTTGGGATTAGCACTGGGCATCATGTAAGAGATGAATCACCAGGTTCTACTTCTGAACCCAAGACTACATTGTATGTTAACTAACTTGAACTTAAATTTTAAAGAAATATTTCATTTTTAAGTAATCTCTATACCCAACGTGGGGCTTTGAACTCACAACCCTGAGATCAAGAGTCATATGCTCTACTGACTGAGCCAGCCAGGCACCCTTTATTATATTCAATCTACAGGAACATATAATAAAGGAAAGAAGTTTGAGCTTTAAGTATATAACCATTCAATTAATAAAACTTCTTATTTATTTCATAAACTGTTAAAAATCTTTGGAATCTTATGGTGAATGGGATGTTTTGTTTGCTTGAAGTCAGCTCCACCCCAGGCAGTTTTCCTTCTTTCAGACCTAGTTCTCTTGCACTAAGTAGATACCCTTAGGGCATTTTACACTTGTGACATTTGCACTGATGGTGCAAAAGTAGTAGTGGGTAAAACTGCTGACATCTTTGCATGAATTGAGGCAACAAACAGCACTAGCCATCATTGTGTTCATCACTGTACATGCTTGTAGTAAATGGATGTCAGTTTCACTTAAGTGTTCTTGATGGTTCAGCAAAAGGTGTTAGTTTTGTTAAATCTGAACCCTTGAGAACACATCTTTTTAATATTCTGTATAGTGAAATGAGAAGTTTGTAGAAAGCATGTCAGTTGCATACTAAAATAGAATGATTTCTTACAGAAAAGGTAAGAACTGGTGTGATTGAGTCTCAAGAAAACCAGCTGCCTTTTTTTTTTTAATGTTTATTTATTTTTGAGACAGAGTGTAAAAGCAGGGGAGAGTTAGAGAGAGAGGGAGACACAGAACCCGAAGCAGCCTCCAGTCTCTGAGCAGTCAGCACAGAGCCTGATGTGGGGCTCAAACTCACAGATTGTGAGATCATGACCTGAGACCAACCGACTGAGCCACTTAAGCACCCCCAAACTAGCTGCTTTTTCATGGATCACCATTTTTGCTTGAGAAAATGGACAAAATTTACTTTGGTACTTGGGAAGCATCTACTTGTAAATGAACAGAGTAAACCTGTTAATTTAAGAAAACAATTGACAGTAGATGTTTTAATGGTAGAGTTCAAATTTTCAAACACAAGTTTGAATTTAGGAAACCTTGTATTTACACAATGACTTGATAGATTCCCAATACTGAGCACTCTTCTGATTAGATTGGTGACAATATTAACAAATATCATTTTTTAATATTGAATAATGAAATGTGCCAGTATTTGGAAGATCTGTATAACTCAGTGAACCACTATTTTCCAAATGACCAAAATGTGATGTTACAAATATCCATGCATGGGTAACAGATTAAAGTGTAAGACAGACCAACAGATTTTTAATGTAACCAAGTCTAAAAAGTTCACTTATATGATTTCTGATCCTATATTGCTACTAAACTTTAAGAAGCTACCACTTATTGAGTTTTGGGATAATATCAAAGAAGAATATCCACAATTATCTGAAGAGGCTATTGAAATACTCCTTCCTTTGCCAACTACATACATCTATGTGAGGCCAGATTGTCTTTATATACTCCAACTGAAACAACATATCCCAATAGATTTAATGCAGAAGCAGATAGGAGAAACCAGACAGATGTAAAACTGACATATAAATATGTAAAACAGTACCTCTCTTCTCACTAAATTTTTTGTTTTATTTTGGAAAAATACATTTTTCTTTTTTTTATTACAAAATTTTTTTTTTATGTTTTATTTACTTTTGAGAGAGAGAGAGGCGGAGTATGAGCGGGGGAGGGGCAGAGAGAGAGGGAGACACAGAATCCGAAGTAGGCTCCAGGTTCTGAGCTGTCAGCACAGAGCCCGACGTGGGGCTTGAACCCACCAACTGTGAGATCATGACCTGAGCTGAAGTCGGATGCTTAACCGACTGAGCCACCCAGGTGCCCCAGAAAAATACATTTTTCAAAAAATGTTTTTTATTTAACATGTAATAGATTTATTATTTTTAAAGTGAATTAATGCATATTATTAAAATGTGCTCTAATTTCTAATACAATTAACATTAATAGGTAGATATAATCAAAATCAGAAAAGCTCTTTATGTTTTAAAAAGTTTTTATTTTACTTCCAGTTAGTTAACACACTGTGCTATGTTAGTTTCAAGTACAATATAGTAGTTCAACACTTCCATATATTACCCTGTGCTTATCACAAGTGCCCTCCTTAATCCTCATCACTTATTTAGCCCATCTCCTTGTCCACCTCCCCTCTGGTTAACCATCAGTTTGTCCTCTGTAACTTAGAGGCTGTTTCTTGCTTCGTCTCCTTCTCTCTTATTTTTTTCCCCTTTGCTTGTTTGTTTTGTTTCTTAAATTCCACATATGAGTAAAATCATATGATATTTGTCTTTCTGTAACTGACTTATTTCACTTAGCATTATATGCTCTAGTTCCATCCATGTCATTGCAAGTGGCAAGATTTCATTCCTTTTCTAATGGCTGAATAATATTCCACTGTATGTTTATATATACCACATCTTTTTTATTTATTCATCTATCAGCGGACATTTAAGCTGCTTCCATATCTTGGCTATTGTAAATAATACTGCAATAAACATTGGGGAGCATGTATCCATTTGAATTAGTGTTCTTGTATTCTTTGGGTAAATAGCCAGTAGCACAATTAAAGGAATGTATTTATTTTTTTTTTAATTTTTTTTCAACATTTTTTATTTATTTTTGGGACAGAGAGAGACAGAGCATGAACGGGGGAGGGGCAGAGAGAGAGGGAGACACAGAATCGGAAACAGGCTCCAGGCTCCGAGCCATCAGCCCAGAGCCTGACGCGGGGCTCGAACCCACGGACCGCGAGATCGTGACCTGGCTGAAGTGGGACGCTTAACCGACTGCGCCACCCAGGCGCCCCTAAAGGAATGTATTTAAAACTCAGGACCTTATGGAGGGGCCAAGATGGCAGAACCGCATGGAAGTTCTCGGCTTCTCTTGTCCCTGAAATGCACCTAGATCAGCACCAAACCATTTTGCACACCTAGAAAATTGCTCTGAGATCAACACAACAATTTGTACAACTTGAGCCACAGAACTCAGCAGGTACGAGGCACAGAGAGGTGAACTGGGGGAGAGAGAAGCCACGGAGGGTAGGGAGCTGTTTTTGCAGAGGGAGGACAGAGAAAGGGGAGAGTGCTACGAAAGTTGCTAGAGAGAAACTGTGGAAACACCCACAAGTGACTGAGCAAGAAAGGGAGAAAGGAGAAAAGGGTTTCAATACCATTAGGACTCCATAAACAGGGGAGAGCAGAGTCAGAAATTCCGCAGCTCAATAACCGGCGGTGCTCTGGTGGGAAAGGTGAATCCCCAAGAGCAGGCAGCGAGGTCCAAGGGGTCTGAGAGCCACAAGGGGAGAAGCGGTTCCCCTGCTAGAAGGACATTTGGTAGAGGCCATGCAGCCTCCTCACAGGGAAATGTCCCAGTGGACCCTGGAGAACAGCCACATTTGCTGCTATTGGAACAAAGATGCTAGGGTATGATCACACAACCTTTTTCTGGAACAAGCAGGCACCTGGCCATAATCTGTGAACCTCTGTAATAGTGCAACCCCACAAACGTTCCTGGAGGCAAGTCAGGACCCGGCTATTGCCTGGCAAGACCCTCCCCCAGAGGGTCGGAACAGGTCCAAGCTGCAGGTCTCTAGAAGTGAGGGAGACGGCCCCTTATGAGATGTAATTCAGGAGCGAGGTGCCACCTGGCAGGCTGACACTTGGACACAGATAGTGTAGAAGTGGGGAGCGGATGGAAGCTGGAGATAAAGGAGGGTGCTTGATCGCTGGTTGGTGACAGCGCAGAGTTCTGGTAAGGGAGTCTGGGAAGCTGAGTGACCCCATTTTTACCTTTCCAACGCATGCGCGCACCCCAAACCAATCCACCCCAGTAAGCTAAGCAGCACCGCCTAGTGGAGAATGAAGCCATTGCACCAAGCCCCATCCACTGCGCCAACTAAGCTGAGGCCCTAGAAGACCACCACAAGTCTCTCTGCCTGCTTAGTGCATGGACCATAAAGTGCTTCACAGTTAAACTTCAAGGGGAAACTGGATGTAATTTCAGTCAGATTTCATTCTGCTCACTGGTCCATCTATTGATTCTTTTTTTCTCTCTTTTTTCCTTTTTTTTCTTTTCTTATTCTTGGATACAGAAAGAAAACATTTATTTTTATTTTCTGTTTTTAATTAAAAAAATTTTTACTTTAGGGGCGCCTGGGTGGCGCAGTCGGTTAAGCGTCCAACTTCAGCCAGGTCACGATCTCGCGGTCCGTGAGTTCGAGCCCCGTGTCAGGCTCTGGGCTGATGGCTCGGAGCCTGGAGCCTGTTTCCGATTCTGTGTCTCCCTCTCTCTCTGCCCCTCCCCCGTTCGTGCTCTGTCTCTCTCTGTCCCAAAAATAAAATAAAAAACGTTGAAAAAAAATTAAAAAAAAATTTTTACTTTAAAAAATTTTTTTTGTAAATTTTTAAAATTCTATGTTACTTCATTTCATTTTATTCTATTTTATCGAATACATTTAAAAATTATATATATATTTTTTCTTTTCTTTCCCTTTTTTCTTTAGTCTATCAAGCTTCTTTCAACAACCAGATCAAAATACACCTAGGATCTAACTTCCTTTGTTTGATTTTTTGTGTCATTTTTAATTTTTTAATTAAAAAATTATTTATTTCTAACTTAGTTTTATTTTTTTAAATTTACATCCAAGTTAGTTATCATATAGTGCAACAGTGATTTCAGGAATAGATTTCTTAATGCCCCTTACCCATTTAGCCCATCTCCCCTCCCACAACCCTTCCAGTAATCCTCTGTTTGTTCTCCCGTTTTTAAAGAGTTTCTTACGTTTGTCCCCCACCCTGTTTTTATATTATTTTTGCTTCCCTTTCCTTGTGTTCATCTGTTTTGTGTCTTAAGTTCCTCATATGAGTGAAGTCATATGATTTTTGCCTTTCTCTGACTAATTTCACTTAGCATAATACCCTCTAGTTCCTTCCATGCTGCTAATGGCAACATTTCATTATTTCTGATTGCCAAGTAATACTCCATTATGTACATATACCACATCTTTACCCATTCATCCATCGATGGACATTTGGGCTCTTTCCATGCTTTGGCTATTGTTGACAGTGCTGTTATAAATGTTGGTGTGCATGTGCCCCTTCGAAACAGCATACCTGTATCCCTGGATAAATACCTAGTAGTACAATTGCTGGGTCATAGGGTAGTTCTATTTTTAATTTTTTAGGAACCTCCATGCTGTTTTCCACAGTGGCTGCACCAGTTTGCATTCCCACCAGCAGTGCAAAAGAGATCCTCTTTCTCCACATTCTTGCCAACATCTGTTGTTGCCTGAGTTGTTAATGTTAGCCATTCTGACAGGTGTGAGGTGGTATCTCATTATGGTTTTGATTTGTATTTCCCAGATGATGAGTGATATTGAGTATTTTTTCATGTGTCGGTTGGCCATTTGTCTTCTTTGGAAAAGTGTCTATTCATGTCTTTTGCCCATTTCTTTACTGGATTATTTGTTTTTTGGGTGTTGAGTTTGATAAGTTCTTTATAGATTTTGGATACTAACCTTTTATCTGATATGTCATTTGCAAATATCTTCTTCCATTCTGTCGATTGCCTTTTAGTTTTGCTGATTGTTTCCTTCATTGTGCAGAAGTTTTTATTTTGATGAGGTCACAATAGTTCATTTTTGCTTTTGTTTCCCTTGCCTCTGGAGACATGTTGAGTAAAAAGTTGCTGTGGCCAAGATCAAAGAGGTTTTTGCCTGCTTTCCCCTCGAGGATTTTGATGGCTTTCTGTCTTACATTTAGGTCTTTCATCCATTTTGAGTTTATTTTTGTGTATGGTGCAAGAAAGTGGTCCAGGTTCATTTTTCTGTATGTTGCTGTCCAGTTTTCCCAGCACCACTTGCTGAAGAGACTGTCTTTATTCATTGGATATTCTTTCCTGCTTTGTCAAAGATTAGTTGGCCATACGTTTGTGGGTCCATTTCTGGGTTCTCTATTCTGTTTCATTGATCAGAGTGTCTGTTTTTGTGCCAGTATGAAAACATTTTTTTAAATGTTTATTTATTTTTGAGAGAGAGAGACAGAGTGTGAGTAGGGGAGGGGCAGAGAGAGAGGGAGACACAGAACCTGAAGCAGGCTCTGGGCTCTGAGCTGTCAGCACGATGTGGGGCTTGAACCCATGAACCATGAGATCATGACCTGAGCTGAAGTTGGACACTCAACTGACTGAGCCACCCAGGTGCCCAATTCAGTTATGTTCTAAACATTTTGTCTTCATTCTGCTCCTTTTTCTGTTTCTCCTCCCACTCTTGCCTTTGTGTGTGTGTGTGTGTGTGTGTGTGTGTGTGTGTGTGTGTGTGGCAATCATATAAGCTATGAACCTCTGCTTCACACTTCTAGTACCTCTCTCCCCTTCACCTACCACATCGCCTGCCCCTTTATCAGTCCTGCCCCTTTATCACCATGTAGTTCCTTAATACTCTTATCATCTGGACCTTGGCAGCAACATCTAAATTGCATCTCTGCCCCTGATTTTTTCTCTCCCCAGCATGTGTTTCCTCACTGCTTTCAGAGTAGACTAGTCATTGTCTACTGGAAAAAGGTTTCTGTCCTTCCTCCCTCCCTTTCTTCATCCCTTCCTCCCTCTCTCCCTTTATTTATTTATTTTTAAGTAGGCCCCACACCCAACATGGGGCTTGAACTCATGACTCTGAGATCAAGAGTTTCATGCACTGCCAACTAAGCCAGCCAGGTGCCCCAGGATAAATATATGTGAAATACTCACCAATAACTGGTAGGTGGGTTTGCAGGTCCTGGATTTCTTTTTCTTCATGTCTGAACCCAATACTTTGTAGAACATTTTTTATGTTACCAACATTGACTCTTCCTCCTTAATAAAAACAAGAAAAAGTAGATAAGGATGTCACATGATGAAAAATGCAGGCCATCAACCCTATCTAGAAATTAAAGCACAAAGAAGCTCTTTATAGCAAGTTGTGTGGGAGTCAGGGACAAAACATCAAAACATGACCCCATAACTAAACTTCTGAGAGAAGTTTATACAAGGGAGAAGAAATGTAAAGGAGGAGGAGTTTGGCAAATGGTAAATTAGGCAAGGACAACAATCAAATCATGCTATTCTAGACAAAGGATTTGAAACTTGCTACAGTAATAAATTACCTTCTTAATATAATTATACATAAGGAAAAACTAGTTAAGGAGGCAGAATAACTGAAAACAATAGTTTTTTATCAAATCACCATAAAATATGAGGATTTACAGAGAGTCAGTGTATACGTTTCAGATGAGTCAAATAATAAATGAAGAAAGTGAAATCTTAGGAAGACAAGAATAAAGTGTATATAATTTTTTATATGCTGTGTAGATAGTAAATACTTTTGAAATACAAAAAAAAAAAAGAAATCACAGGAGGAATGACTGATATAATCAAATTCATAAAATGAAAAACGTCTGTGTGTAAAAGTACAACATAATGGACAGAGAGTAGATTGTTGGTTGCTTAAGTTTGGGAAGGTTGTGGAGAACGAGGAGTGACGATTAATGGGTATAGTATTTTGGGGGGGTGATCAAAATGTTCTAAATTGATTTTGATGATGTTTGAGCAGCTCTCTTAATATACTAAAAACCACTGAATTATACACTTTAAATGGGTGAATTGCATGGTATATAAATTATATTTCAATAAAATATTATAAAACATATGACATGACAAAGCAAAAAAGTATTTTCTGTAGCTATGACAATTGTGCTAATATCTTTAATTTATAAAGAGGCCATTCAAATTAGGAGGAAAAAGCTTGGATTCTGATAGGATAATGGGCAAAAGACAGGAACAAGTAATTAAAAGACCAAAAGACATAATGACATAAAAATAATTTCAACTTCGTTGATAATAAAAAAATCAAAGCAATGATTAGATTCCATTTCTCATTTATCAAATTGGCAAGGATCAAAAAATGTGACAATAAACTGTTGTGGCAAGGGCATAATGGTAACCAGTAGTCTTATCCACTCATATATATCACAGCCTTAACCATGTTAAGATTTACTGGATTTACTAGAAAAATCTATCCAAAGAAACTGACTAAAAGTTGGACAAAGATCACAGATGTATAAGAGCAAACCACTGGAGACTATGTAAATAAATGTTCAACAAGAAACAAATGACTAAGTAAATCATAAATACAACTTGATGTATAGTCATTAAAAATGATGTTCATAAAAAAATTTTAGGGGCACCTGGGTGGCTCAGTAGGTTGGGCGTCCAACTTCCGCTCAGGTCATGATCTCACAGTTTGTGAGTTTGAGCTCCGGGTCAGGCTCTGTGCTGACAGCTCAGAGCCTGGAGCCTGCTTCAGATTCTGTGTCTCCCTCTCCCTCTGCCCCTCCCCCAGTCTCTCTCTCTCTCTCTCTCTCTAAAGAATAAATAAACATTAAAGAACATTTTTTTAATGACATGGAATTCTTACACTATAATTTTAGGATTAAGTGTAGGATACATAAAATATACAGTAAGAGTTTAATTATCTGTACACCTGTATACACAGAAAAAAAGAATAGTGATAACTATAATAAAAAAGGTGAATATCACCTGGGGTTATGGGTAATTGCATTTTTTTCTGTATGTTACTTTATATATTCCAGCTCAAATACCCGACACAGAGGAGACACTTGGATATTTGTTGAATAAATGCATAATTTCCTGATTATTTATATTATCAGCAAAAACTGTTACAACAGTCTGATTATTTTATTGTCCTTATCCTTTTCCTCACTCACCTTTGAAGGACTTCACACCCTCTAGTAATTCTTTCTCAAACACCTTTTTATCAGCTGTAAGATAAAACATAATTGAGTTTTTGATGGTTCACGGAAATTAAAGTGTTTACTTTCAGGAAGGGGAAATTTAGAAATTTATCACAATTCATTCTCAATGAAATGCAAAACTCAGTGTATTGACACTCTATCTCTGGGCAGAATACAAGGCTACTGTTAGTGGTACTCCAGTTTGCTAAAATGCACACAGCTTTTTCTTTCTCGTTATCTCCTCACAATTTGGTTTAATTTTTTCTTTCTTCATCTTTCCTGCCCTTCTGCCCTTTCATCTTCTTCCAGCTTAGACCTTAGATTTTTTTCCCAAAGGGACAAAAGAACTTGTTTGTCCTGTAATGGGACCTCTGACTGTAGAGGTCCCAGTTTACTAGAAAAAATCTAAATGAAAGAACAATATTTTTAAAAATGCTAGGATTCAGTCTTTTAAAAAAACATAGTTTTAATTGACATAAAATGTTTCAAACAGTAGAATTTCTAACACAAAACTTTAAAACAAAGCTTCTGTGCAGTTTTGAGGACTTGAGGAGACCTGGTCACTGCAGACATGGTCCCTGTTTGTCCAGAATTTAGGATAGTGCCATGAACACAACAGATCTTCAATAAATGTTTGTTGAATGAATAAATTTTTAGATATCAGTAAAGTAGAACTTCAATGCTTACCAGAAACTGGCAGGGTTTTCAGAAACTTTTTATATTCCTTATTTGTGATCTCTATTCCCATGTTTTTCAGAATATTTTTCAGGTCCTCAGTAGGAATCTTCTCTCCTTTAGAAAGACATACATATACATAAGGAAATATCCTTCCCAGGTTCAGCGGGTAAGAACTAGGCATAATCAAGCTTGGTTTAGCTATTCAGAATCAAGGAGGTAAGAAAATCTTCTCTTAACCTAAGAGAGTATCTTCAATGATAAGATAATATCATATATAATAGGTGAAACAGGGATTGTACAACTTCTCAGTAGTTTAGATGTGTTTGATGACTAATAATTCAACCACTAATATAACATCTGTATTCTTTTCTTTCTTTTTTTCCCTCTTCTTCTACACTTTTCTCCTTACCCTCCTCTGGGCCTCCCTGCCCCCTTCCCTTTCCTCTTCTTTTACCTGAATTATTGGACTAGTTTTAAAAATGACAATAAAAGCTGGTTCTCTATTAAAATTTTCAGTAAATCTGAGTAAATTTATATTTACATTGTTACACTGTAAGCTGGGCCTATGAGAATAGGGAGATAGATTTGAAATCACATATTTAAAAATCTACTGAAGACAAGAGAAAACAAAAAAGCCATAAGAACAAAAAATCGGGGGAAAAATAGGCTAATTTGAAAAGGAACTAAAACAATATCTAGAAATAAAAACGTAGTTATTGAAATTAAAACCCCAATGGATAAATAGTATGAGACACAGTTGTAGAAACAGTGAGCTAGAAGAGAGGTTTAAGAAAAGACAAAAACATAAAATAGGGAAAATATGAAAAGAAAGAAATGAAGAGCAAATGAGAAGGTTCAACATACATGTAATTGGAGTTTCTAAAAATGAGAAAAGAGCAAAAAAAAGAAGCAATATTTGAAACATAAGGGCTGAGAGTTTCCAAAACTTGATGAGAGGCATGAATGTTCAGTTTTAGGAATCATAAGTTCCAAGCAGGAAAAATGAAAAGAAGTCCACACTTGGCTACATGATAATGAGAATTTCAAAGATAGAGATAAGAGTGATAAGAGAAAAAGAGATTAACTATAAATAAACAATGAAAACTTATAGTTGATTTTTAACCGCAAAAAAAGAGGTCACAGAACAGTGGATATATGAATCTATCATCTTTCTGTCTAATATTCATATGTATTTTCTCCTTTCTCCTTTTTTTTCCTTTTAAATTTAAATATGACTTTTTATTATAGGTTAACTTTACAAGATAGTCTTTAGGTTACAGAATATTCAGATGGGACTGTAACGAAATTTGAGAATTAACATAGCCCAGAGATAGTATGACTGTCTCCCAGAGATAGACTCCTGGAACTTTGCTTCTCCTAATTCTGGTAAGAGAATGAGAACACCTTCATTTGTAGGAAGGACAGTTGCATCTTATTCGTTGGAAACAAAGAGTTGTTTTGTTGTCATATGGAAGTTAAGTTCAAACATATGTAGAAGAGTCCATAGCTGAGTAGCCAGAGGGGTAGACTATTTCAGCTGTTTAGTTATTATCTCTCAGTCCCAACTCTACCGTTCTAATCTCTGCTTTGTGATGCTGAGGCTGGGACTTGGTAGACCATGTTTCTGTTTTGCTAGCTGGTTCCATATTAAACTCTGCCAATGAGTGGATGGGGGGAGTGGTAGAGAAACAGAGGAACTGAAAGACTGTCCAATGAAGTTCCTTCCTGTGGTAATAAATGAATACAGTTTTTAATTTTTCAACCTTGTGGAACCAGTTTCATTACACTCGTCAGAGATACGCACGGCAGACTTCAGAGTTCTAAGGTAGAATGATAATCTGTAACTCTAGACATAGTCAAAGCATGAGTCAAGGCTGAGTGTAAAACAAAGACATTTTCAGAGAGTAACCCTTGTTGAAATTACTCAGAAGTATGTACTTCAGGAAGAATGAAACTGAACCCAAAAAAGAGCAGAAGTAAAAAGCAATGGTGAACAAAGAAAGTAAGTGTATTTAAGTTTTGCAAAAGATCAGATTTAAATTGCTCTGCCCTTGCTTGCAATATACTCACTTGGCAAAAGCTCATTCCTGTTTAAATACAAGTTTGTGCTTACTCTGTGCCTGCAGGCAGGTAGCTGAACTAGAGCTGGAGTCAACTGTGCTGACTGTTCTCACTTTAAATGGATGATCGTGAACCTCAGGTGAGTCCTTAATTCGGTTGGGCAACCACACTACACTTTGCTAGTGTATTAACTTTCCTCCTTTTCTAGATGACTACTTCATATCTCTTCTTTTCAAACTCCCACTTCCTCTTCTTCCATTTGATCATATCTTCTTTTATGTCTTTAATTAAAAAAAAAACAACAACAAAGCCTTCTCTTGATGTCACTTTCACCAATTTACTTGCCTCGTTGTTCCACCTCTTTGCTTCCCCTGGCAGCAATATTTCTCAGATATTCACAATGCTTCTAAATGCTATCTTCCCATTTTCTCTTAAACTCACTTCAGTCGGCCTTCTTTCCACCCTCACTACCTGATAATTTTCTTCTTTGTATCATTAATGGTAGTTGATGATTTGAGATCACTATTGCGGCTATACGCAATGGTCAGTTCTCAGGTCTTATCTTACTTGAACTACTGACCTATTTGACTGTTGATCTGCCCTCCTGGCTGATACTTCTACAAGGTGCTGTAGATGCACTGATCACATCTCTTCAACCCTTACCATTTTAATGTGTGCTAGCCCAAGTTTCGGTTGTTGGCATCTCTTTATCTGAGAGATTTCTTTGGTTGCAGAGTTCACTCTGCCTATGCTCAACTGGCTGGAAATACAAGTGGAATAATATTGCCTCCCTCTCCTTGAGCAGTTACCAACCAATGACTGATAGGAGTTGATATAAAATCCTAGCTCTCCCACTCCCCCTGAGGCTGTGTTCTATGCCATTTCCCAGATATTCCCCAATGGGATTAAGTTCCAGTTATCTTCTTGGTAACTTGCCTGATAAACACATACTTTATTTGCTGCCTTCATTCACTTCTCTACTCCCCTATCTGTGTTTCTTGGACTCACCTTCCAAGTAAACCATCTGCCTGTATGATATTTGTCTCAGGGTTTGTGTCTGGGGGCACCCAACCTAATCTACTTATTTGGCTTTTAGGACACCATATTCTCTTGGTTTTCTACCTACTTCACTGGTCACTTCTTCTTGGTCTTTTTTGCTTTAACACTACTTAAAAAAATTAATGTATTTATATTTTGAGAGAGAGAGAGAGAGAGGAAGAGAGAGAGAGAGAGAGAGAGAGAGAGAGAGAGAGAGAGAGAATGTGAGCATGTGAGCAGGGGAGGGGCAGGGAGAGAGGGAAAGAGAGAATCCAAAGCAGGTTTCGTACTGCCAGCATGGAGCCTGAAGTGGGGCTTGAACTCACAAACCATGAGATCATGACCTAAGCTGAAACCAAGAGTTGGACACTTAACCAACTGAGCCACCCAGACGCCCCTGCTTTAACACTCCTTAATGTTGAAGTGTGCCAAGATCACTCCTTAGTTCTCTTTCATTCTCTATCTATACTCACTCACTCATTGGGTGAATTCATTCAATCTAATGGCTTTAAATATCATCTATATGCCTATGGCTTTCAATTTTATATTTTTAGCCAAGATATCTTTCTTGAATTTGTGACTTACTGGTAGCTTTGTACCTGTTATCTCTACTTGGGAGTCTATTAGATATCTTAAAATATCCCAAACTGAACTCCTAAGTTTCTTCCATCTAAACCTGTGTTTCAGGCAACTTTCTCCAGACTCTGATGTAAAGTCTATCCTTTTAGTTGTTCAAGACAAAAATCTTAGAATCATTCCTGACTTCTTCCTTTATCTAGTTGCTGTCAGGAAACCCTGTTGACTTCTTTTATTATTTTTTTTAATTGAAATAAAATTGACATATAACATTACTTTAGTTTCAGGTATACAACATAATGGTTTGATGTTGGTATAAGTTATGAGATGATCACCACAATCTGTCTGGTTAAAATCCATCAACACAGTAGCTCCTTTTAAAATATATCCAGAATCCAGCTACTTTTTAATCATCTTCATTGCTTTCTACCCTAGTATGAATCACCATCATTTCTAACATCAATTACTTCAAAAGCCCTTTTAGGGTTTTAATTCCCTATTCTCTACCTCCCCGAGTCTGTTCTCCCCATAGAATCCAGGAAGATCTGATGAAAACATAGGTCAGATCATATCATGCCTCTACTCTAAAACCTGCAATGGCTTTCCATTTCTCTAAAACAAACAAACAAACAAACAAACACACAAACAAACAAACAAAACAAAAAAAGAAAGCCCAAGTCCTGGAAGGGCTTTCATGGTCCTGACTAATCTCGCACCCATCACCTCTTTCTCCTCATCTCCTATTACTATTTTCCTTCCTTATTCAGCTTCAGATACGTTGGACTTCTTGCTTTCCTTGAATAGTCCAGGTATGCTCCTGCCTTTAGGTCTTAGTCCCTATTCCTTTTGCCTATAATTCTTTTCCTACAAGTCCCCACATGGACAAAACCCTTACCTCCTTCAAGTATTTGCTCAAATGTCACCTTTTCGGAGGACTGATTATCTGTTTAAAGCCATAAGTGCCCCTTTCCCCAAATACACCTTCCCCTTCCAATGTCCTTTAGTATACTTTTCATTTTTCTATAGCATTTATTACTTTCTAACATACTATATAATGACTTATTTATTATGTTTATTGTTTATTGCTTGTTTCCCCTGCTAGTGTGTAAGCTCCAGAGGAGCAATAATCTTTGTTCTGTTTGCTCTTATATCCTAAGTGTCTAGAACAATGCCCACATTTAAATGCTGAGTAAATAGTTGTTAAATGAATAAGTGGAAGGAGGAAACACTATTGTGTTAAAAATATAGTTCCGTATAGGGAAACAAAAGCAAACCTGAACTACTGGGACTTCATCAAGATAAAAAGCTTCTGTACAGCAAAGGAAACAAAAAACTAAACGGCAGCCTATAGAATGGGAGAAGATATTTGCAAATGACATAACTTATAAAGAGTTGGTATCCAAAATCTATAAAGAACTTATCAAACTCAACACCCAAAAAACAAACAATCCAGTTAAGAAATGGGCAGAAGACATGAATAGACACTTTTGCAAAGAAGACATCCAGATGGCTAACAGACACATGAAAAGATGCTCAACGTCACTCATCATCAGGGAAATACAAATCAAAACCATGATGAGATACCACCTCACACATGTCTGAATGGCTAAGATTAGTAACCCAAGAAACAACTGGTGCTGGTGGGGATGCGGAGACAGGAGAACCCTCTTGCACTGTTGGTGGGAATGCAAACTGGTGCAGCCACTCGGGAGAACAGTATGGAGGCGCCTCAAAAACTAAAAATAGACCTACCATACAACCCGGCATTTTAACTATTAGATATTTACCCAAAGGATACAAAAATACAGATTTGAAGGGGTACCTGCACCCCGATGTGTATAGTAGCATTAACAACAATAGCCAAACAACGGAGACAGCTCAAATGTCCATAAACTGATGAATGGATAAATGGATAAAGAAGATGTGGTGTGTGTGTGTGTGTGTGTGTGTGTGTGTGTGTGTGTGTGTAATGTAATATTACTCAGCCATCAAAAAGAATGAAATCTTGCCATTTGCAATGACACGGATAGGGCTAGAATGTATAATGGGAAGCGAAATAAGTCAATCTTCAAGATTTGTCAAGAGACAGACAAATAGTAGATATTTCACTCATATGTGGCATTTAAAAGACAAAACAGATGAGCACATGGTAGGGAGTGGGAGAAGAGAAGAGAGGGAAACAAATCACAAGAGATTCTTAAGGAAAGGGAACAAACTGAGGGTTGGTGTAGGGAGGTGGGTGGGAGAGGGCTAGATGGGCGATAGGTATTAAGGAGGGCACTTGTTGTGATGAGCATTGGGTGTTGTGTGTAAGTGATGAATCACTGAATTCTACTCCTGAAACCAATATTGCACTGTATGTTACCTAAATTTTAAGTAAGAAAAATAGTCCCGTATAAAACTTTAAGATCACATAATATAATCCTCATTGTAACATCTCACTCACCTGTAATATTTTTAACTTCATCCATCAGTACATTTACATCAATATTCCCATTACCTTTAAGATAAAAAAGCATGAAAAAGATTTTTAGAAAAATGATATAAAAATTTTAAATTGTGAAATAGAAACCCTAAATTCAGCCACTTTGAGACACTTTCCCTAGAAATTTATTATTTTTTTATGTCATTAACTTAAATTAGTATAGCTCCTGCATTTTACATTATCAAATTACATACAGCACAATGCATGAACAAAGTTTAAGCACTCTCCTTTCCTTCAAGACAATCTATTATTTACTAGGTTACTCTTTTGCAGGCACGGGTCTGAAATTTTTTGAGAGTTTAAAAATTTTGTTTAAAAATGATGTTTCCATTTTGTCAGTGCTGACTTTCCCTTTGGGCTTATGATCACCTTAGCATCAAGTGATCCCTGTAAAGGATAGAGTGCTGTACGCCATGTCTAGCTGCTCTCAGGTTGCCAACATGATAATCATCATGTTGATATATTCAGTTACATTTCCAGATATGATGACAAAACTCTTGTGCAGTACCCATTCTCAACTGAAAGACTTTTTCATAGACTACGTGCTTAGTTTCTTTAGGCTATTTCTCAATTCTGAAGCTACTGGAGGTCAACGGATACATTTTTAGTAGTTTGTAATATTGCAAGTTTGAGAAGCCCTGGGTTGGGATGTTAAGATAGTAGTTAAAAGATGCAATTACTCTAATTGGCAAGATTCAGTTTGGAACCTTAGAGCCGCCTGTGGACATACTCATTTTCCACTTATGACTTGGTCAAGGGTGCCAACCCGTCACTCCTCAAACATGTTCACACTCTTGTTTTAAGTGTAGTAATAATTCTAAGATTGTCAATTCCTCCAAGAGTGAGATACCAAGAATCACTTTGTATTCCTACTATTACCTTAGCATTAGTTTAGAGTTTGCAAAAGATTGTTACTAAATTGATACTAAAGATTGATACTAAACACAAATGCTTCCTAAATAATTAAGTTCCAGTAGAATGCAAACATATTGCAGAGAATGAAGTAGCTTTGAAACCAGTTTATAGTTCAGGTTCTTAGATATGGAATTTTTCCTGGCTTGTTTTTTTTTTTTATGTCTTTTCAGTTATGATGATCTTTTATTGGTATCCTTTTATAGTTTTAGAGCATCTATGATGATGATGATGATGAATACTATTATATTATGACTTTTACACAGGATAAGGAAAAACTTTTATTGGAGAAAAATCTGTTCCTGTAAAGGACAGATCTTAGAAGGTCTTTTGCTTTGTGTGTCTCTTAATCAGCTTCACTGAGGCCTATCGGGCCCCTGAAACAGTCTTCCCTCCTATTTCAGATGGTTCCACGGATGTACAAGGTAGTCCACAAGAATTTGATTAGAATTAGCCTCATTTTAAATCACTGTGCTGGTATCTTTTCTCATGTTTCAGGATAGTAGAAAAACAAGGCAAAGACAAATATCTGTATTTATTGAACTGGCAGGTTAAGAGAGCTATGAAAGGGATTAAAAACCAAAGAAAAAGCCATTTTTGGGAAAACCGCTTACCTCTTACTAAGGCAAAATTTCCGAGGCTCTAGAACAGTGTCTGACATATTATAGGCATTCAGTTAAAGTTTATGGAATAAAATAGTGGAAGGTACTACTGGTTTAGAAAAGTCCACGTTCATTGACTTGGATCTTATATCTTCACTCCTTCCTCAAAGGGGCAGGTGTCAAAATTTCCTCATGAATGTTTCTCAGTTCTACCAGCATGAGGACAGTCTGATATATGCCAAGTTTAATGAATTCTGTTGACCATTACTATGTATCTTCTTAAATTTCTTAGTTCTAGTAGTTCATGGCAGTATAGCAGAGTGGTTAATAGTTTCTGGAGCCAGATTGCCAGCCCACCACTTACTAGCTCTACGACTTTACACAAGCTACTTGAGTTCTCTGTGCCTTAGTTTCCTTATATGTAAAATGGGAGTAAAATTAGAACCTGCCTTATAAAGTTGTTTGCAAGATAAAGTAAGACGATATATATAAAGTGCTGATGATAGTGCCTTACACATTTCAGGACCATGTTGCTCATTGCTGTTTAATGCTGGTTAGTGGTAGGGACTCAAAGATTAAAATCTTGAGTATTCTTCATTGAACCCTGGCGTTCCCTGTGAAGAGTGACACTTGCCATGTATACTGGGCACCATTCTTGGTGATACTTCCCAAGTGAGAGCCATTGAGCTTAGTTTAGTAGCTATGTGAAAGGCCTCACTCTTTCTTTTTATTCTCAGATACATCATATCTTCAGGTAGGTAGTCCAGGCCTGATACTAGCCTCAAGTCCAAAGTTTGGCTAAAGAGTATATTGACACTTAAAATTCTCACCATCAGTTGGTAGGAGGTCCTTCAGTTCCTGGATTTTTTTCTTCTTGAGATCAATTCCCATGTTTTTCAGGAAAGTGTCCACCTTATTTAGAGACACCTTCACCCCTTAGGAAAGAAAGGGATGGGATATGAAAAATATTTGTAATGATGTAAAGAGTGGGTTATTATAGATCATGCCTAGGCATCAATACTACATAGACAATGAAGAGCAAAGAACAATTAAACTATCCAACTAAATGTGGTTTGTTGTTATCTAAGTGAGGAATTCCTAAACCCTGACCTATGGAATTCTGTTATTACTTTTAGGAAAACATTTAAGAGAAGAAAGTGAACAATTAAGGGTATTTGGTAAGTCATAGCACAGACTAAAATTAAGCTTTATACATGTGTTTGAACAGAAGAATGTGAAACTTGCTAAATTAATGGACAACTACAAATCCATCCATCCATCCACCCACCCACCCACCCATCTGTCCATTCAGCTAGCCATCCATTGAGCCAGACAGACAGCCAATCCATGGATTTACTCTATCATAATTCTCTGAGACACTTTTTAAGAATATATGCTTCTAGAATCTATCCCTGGAAATTCAAGATCAATATAACTAGAAAGGGGCCTAGTGACTTGAATGCTACATATTCCACCCTCCCCCTGGTAATTTTAATATACAACTTTATTTGGGAACCGCTGCCTTTGGGTTACTGTAATGTACCTAAAGCATATGAAGAATAAACACTGACTTAACAAACCATTGGGACAGCTGGGATAATAATCTGAAAATTGAAAAATAGGAAGAGTTTTTGAAAATAAGAGCAAAGCCAAAAATGCACCCCTGGGACCTCATCAAAATAAAAGGCTTCTGCACAGTGAAGGAAACAATCAGCAAAACCAAAAGGCAACCGACAGAATGGGAGAAGATATTTGCAAATGACGTATCAGATAGAGGGTTAGTATCCAAAATCTATAAAGAACTTATCAAACTCAACACCCAAAAACCAAATAAACCAGTAAATAAGTGGGCAAAAGACACGAATAGACATTTCTCCAAAGAAGACATCCAAATGGCCAACCAACACATAAAAAAATGCTCAACTTCACTCATCATCAGGGAAATACAAATCAAAACCACCATGAGATACCACCTTACACCTGTCTGATGGCTAACGTTAACAACTCAGGCAACAACAGTTGTTGGAGAGGATGTGGAGAAAGAGGATCTCTTTTGCATTGTTGGTGGGAATGCAAGCTGGTGCAGCCACTCTGGAAAACAGTATGGAGGTTCTCAAAAAACTGAAAATAGAACTACCCTACAACCCAGCAATTGCACTACTAGGTATTTACCCAAGGGATACAGGTATGCTATTTTTAAGGAACACATGCACCCCAGTGTTTATAGTAGCACTATCAACAATAGCCAAAGTATGGAAACAGCCCAAATGTCCATCGATGGATGAATGGATAAAGAAGATGTGGTACATATATACAATGGAGTATTACTCAGCAATCAAAAGGAATGAAATCTTGCCATTTTCAACTATGTGGATGGAACTGGAGGGTATTATGCTAAGTGAAAGTAGTCATTCAGAGAAAGACAAAAACCATATGACTTCACTCATATGAGGACTTTAAGAGACAAAACAGATGAACATAAGGGAAGGGAAACAAAAATAATATAAAAACAGGGAGGGGGGAAAAACATAAGAGACTCATAAATATGGAGAACAAACTGAGGGTTACTGGAGGGGTCGTGGGAGGGGGGGATGGGCTAAATGGGTAAGGGGCACTAAGGAATCTACTCCTCAAATCATTGTTGCACTAGATGCTAACTAATTTGGATGTAAATTTAAAAAAAATGAATAAAATTAAAAATTAAAAAAAAAGAAAATAAGAGCAAAACCTGATGACCAGTTTTACCTGCCTTTTCTTTTTTTTTTTTTTAAATTTTTTTTCCCAACGTTTTTATTTATTTTTGGGACAGAGAGAGACAGAGCATGAACGGGGGAGGGGCAGAGAGAGAGGGAGACACAGAATCGGAAACAGGCTCCAGGCTCCCAGCCATCAGCTCAGAGCCCGACGCGGGGCTCGAACTCACGGACCGCGAGATCGTGACCTGGCTGAAGTCGGACGCTCAACCGACTGCGCCACCCAGGCGCCCCTTACCTGCCTTTTCAATATGCTTCTTACTCACCTTTGAGAGACTGTAACTCTTTCATCAATCTGTTCATGTACACCCTTCCTTTGGCTGTGGGGAAAAAATAAGTTTCAGGCAGGAGTGTTGATATTTAAATATATAATGAAACATGCATAGGTTCAGAAATGGAGACTTCTAATATTTTATTCTAGAAATTTAAATGATTAAAAAAATTTTTTTAATGTGCATTTATTTTTGAGAGAAGAGAGAGACTGAGTGTGAGTGGGGGAGGGGCAGAGAAAGAAGGAGACCCAGAATCTGAAGAAGGCTCCAGGCTCTGAGCTGTCAGGACACAGCCCGATGCAGGGCTTGAACCCATGAACCGTGAGATCATGACCTGAGCCAAAATCAAGAGTTGGACACCCAACCAACTGAGCCACCCAGGGGCCCCTAGAAATGTATATTTCACTTCCAAGAATAAAACTTAGAGGAGTGGAAACAGCTCGCAATTTGGTGAAATCATGGGGGTAGGGGGATGAAACATTCCTTAACTAGGCAGTATTAGTTAAAAAAAAGTCCACATATTCAGGGCGCCTGGGTGGCTCAGTCGGTTAAGCGTCCGACTTCGGCTCAGGTCATGATCTCGCGGTTCGTGAGTTCCAGCCCTGTGGCAGGCTCTGTGCTGACAGCTCAGCGCCTGGAGCCTGCTTCAGATTCTGTCTCCTCTCTCTCTGATCCTCCCCCGTTCATGCTCTGTCTCTCTCTGTCTCAAAAATAAATAAACGTTAAAAAAAAAATTAAAAAAAAAAAGTCCACATATTCAACTTCTCTGAAGGCCACTGAGATTTTTCCCCACTGTGGTATTTTTAATGCTCACCATCAACTGGAAGCTTGTTCTGTAGTTTCAGGCCTTCATCTTCTGTGAGTGTTATCCCCATATTTTCCAGTAAAATTTCCAGGTTACTAGTATCGACCTTCTCACCTTTAAAAATTAAAAGGTGGTAGAAGTTGAAAATTTGAAGAATGGTGATCTTATGTTCTAAAAAAAAAAAAAAGAAAAAGAAAAAAAAATCCCGGGGTGCCTGGGTAGCTCAGTCCGTTGAGTGTCCGACTTCAGCTCAGGTCACGATCTCACGGTTTGTGAGTTCGAGCCCTGTGTCAGGCTCTGTGCTGACAGCTCAGCGCCTGGAGCCTGCTTCAGATTCTGTCTCCTTCTCTCTCTGCTCCTCCCCACTTGTGCTCTGTCTCTCAAAAATAAATAAATGTAAAAAAAAATTTTTTTTTAAATCCCATTTGTTGATTAAACAATGAAGTAATCCTGACAAGAATGCCAGCTAAGACATCATCTTAGAGCTTTTTGGCTCAAACAATGGCAATCAAATTTAGGCCAGCAGTCTGTAGATGCAAACATTCACGGATATACAGGTAGAGTGAGAGAATTTATCAGTAAGGAAAACAATGCTGCTGAAATATAATTTTGTGTAAATGTTAAAATCCTGGTGTTGCAAAGTCTTCTTAATTACCTACCATGGAATCATACAGGGCTTTTCTCCAGGGGCTTCTTTCTTAACCCAAACTGGCTCTCTGTCATGCCTCAGGGATTTGGTGGGCTTGCCTCCCTCTCTTCTTGGCAGCCTCTACCACCCATAAAGTTTTTTTGGTGGCTAGGACATTAGATGCAGTCTTCCAAGCTCTCCTGTTTTTAGGGTCCCAGGAAAACTGGCACATAGTTATTTTTATTCTAAGGGCTTCAATGTAAAGTGCTACAATGAGCCAGACAGGGGAACATCAGACTCCCACAGAATGGGTAAGACACAAAGCTAACAAGTTTGTTTGGTAATGGACTTTTAGGAGGGTGGAAATCACCACTTATCCCTGCCCCCCAGTAGCTGTTTCCCAATCTGCTCGTAGGATGGCTGTATGAAACTTTCCTTCATGATGGCTCTTGCCTCTAGCTTGAAGATGCAGTTTAGCAACAAAAACAACAAAATGGTAATTATGTGAGGTGACAAATGCGTTAGCTAACCATATTATGGCAAATATTCTGAAATACGTGTATCAAATCATCACATTGCATACATTAAACATACACAGTTTAGTTTATATATATCTATTATATCTCAACAAAGCTGGGGAAGAAAGATGCTGTTTAAGTGGGCAATTTGCACCTCCTAATCATTTCCGATTTCAGGAAAAGAAAACTCTTGCTTTTAGTCCTCTGGAACCACTACTTCCATTGGGAGGATAATACCTGGGGAGGGAGCCAGTCTTCTGCACAAGTGCCTGGGAGGAAATGTGTACAAGGGTTGCTCTCCCCTAGCTGCTTCAGACTCTTCTGGAAAGCCTTGCACCATGGAGCTTCTAAAATGCCCCCCACCCTGTAAGCAGCCAAGGAATGATTCTTCAGATACAACAGAGCAATTTCCTAGTCTGCTAGCTCAATCGCTTTTTTTTTATTATTAAAAAAAGGGTTTTTTAATGTTTATTTTTGAGAGAGAGATAGAGAGACAGAGCGTGAGCAGGAGAGGACCAGAGAGAGAAGGAGACACAGAATCTGAAGCAGGCTCCAGGCTCTGAGCTGTCAGCACAGAGCCTGATGCACAGGGCTTGAATGCACTAACCCCCCTCCAAGATCATGACCTGAGCTGAAGCCGGATGCTTAATCAACTGAGCCATCCAGGCGCCCCTAACTTGATCACATTTTGACAGACATGGGCCTTCTGCTAGGTTATCAGTCTAACTACCCCTGTCATCTGTATCATTCCCATTCTTCAAAATGTAAGCCCACAAAGTTTTCTATCCTCTCAAATCTATGCTGTGTTTTACCACTCTGATTTTTCTTTCCATTGCTAGCTTTCTTTTCACCCTTCCCACAGTGCCCTCTCGGGCTCATATTTCATTAAATATGAATTTCTCTAAATCTTCAGTCTCTTTATAGACTCTTACCTTCTTTCCTAACTGAACTTTGTCTGTTCTGGATAGGTTTTCCTTTTGCTTTTCCTTTTCCTTTTCCTTCCCTCCCCACCCCCTCCCTCCTTCTTTCCTTCCTTCCATCTCCCCTCCCTTCTTTCATTTCCTCCTTCCTTCCTTCCTTCCTTCCTTCCTTCCTTCCTTCCTTCCTTCCTTC